TCTTGGTGGCTTATCTTTTGGTTCCTGCTGAGGGAAATGTTATAGCAGTGCACCTGTATCTGACCTGCCAAGAAATGTAAAAGAGTTGTTGAATTTTAAATAGGTCACAAGCTATTTATTCATTCTTTTGTAGGCTTTAAGATTTTCATTATTTTATGTCATCCAAAGTGACTTACAGCACACTAATTGCATAGATGTCTCTCTGGAGCAACCTGAGGTTAAGTGCACTGCTCGCAGACTTGAACTCAGGGGAAATACAGCAGGACTGTAATTTCCAGGATCCTGGACGTTTGGTGTTAGCAGCCCTGATTCTCTTTGCATTACCACTGCATTACTTTCATTAGTTCTTCTGTTTATTTTTCTTTCTAGCATGGTGGTGCCAGTTGAACTTACTGAAGTTTATTACAGTGTAAGGGCAATGTGTTCGTGCCGGATAATTGACATTGCATAACTGTGATTCAGAGGAATTTTGATGATACTGTATAGTGATAAGCAAAGGTTATCTACTGAAATGCCTCTTAGATGCAGTAAAAAAGATTATCGTTTTAATATGATTTAATATCACAAGATGTTCTTTTGTACAGTAAATGATGTAGGGTGCAAAAGAGGGCATTTGAAAAATATAATCAAAAACGTATTTTACCAGCATTGGCTTTTCATTATAATTAATGAATACTTTTCATTACAAAAAATGTCAAATAATACATTCATAATTAATTTGAGTTTGAGTTTGGATGTTCTCTGTAGATCCCACTTTCTTGCATGCCACGTTTGATCGATTATGTATTTAGAATTCCAGGACGTATGGTCACCCCTAGATAAATTGAGAAACTGTTTTGATTTATGTTTTAATATTTAATTCATGTCATATTTTGTGTTCTGTCTCAGGCCATTATATTGGAGAAATAGACAAAGGAAGCCCTGCGGAGCGAGGGGGACTGAAGAATATGGACAGACTAGTGGCCGTAAATGGACAGGAAACAGATAACTGCAGACATGAACAGGTGGTGGAAAAAATATCACAGCAAGGAAACAAGTGCTCCCTCCTTGTGCTGGATGCTGAAACAGAGAAAATGTACAAATTGGTGAGTCCCTTTCATTCACTAAGATTGTTGCAGTGCAGCATTGATTTAAACATTTACACTGCTACTGAGGAGTACACTGGTGATTGCATATTTCAATTTAAAATTTTTATCTTAAATTAAATTTCATATCAAATTGTGTAATACTTTGCTGTATAGGGTGGTGTTTCTCCACTTCTGTACTGGGAGGAAATGAGAGGATCTCCGCCCAGCTATCCTGAGCATGAAGCTGAAGCCACACCTGCTCCAGCGGCACCTGCTCCAGCGGCACCTGCTCCAGCAGATGTGGACCACAAACCCAAACTGTGCCGGCTGGAGAAGACCGCTGCTGGATTTGGTTTCCATCTCAACGGCATCCAGGGACTTCACGGACAGTACATCAAAGAGGTGGGCTCTGACAACATGACCTGTGCTGACATTTCTAGAAAGCTCTCCTTGATCTCTTTTTAGGCTCAGTTTTTGAATAGGTTCAGAGGTTCTGTCATTATTTACGTATCCTCAAGACATTCCAAACCTGTGTGACTTTCTTTCTTCAGCTGAACACAAAAGGAGAATTTTTAAAGAATATCCCAACTGTTCTTGTCTATTTAATGAAAGTGAATAGGGACTAGTGTCTTTCAAGCGCCAAAATACCAGAAAAGTGTCATAAAAGAATTATAAAAGTTTCATAAATGTTGTCCATAAACCTTATATTCCAAGTCTGCACTCAAATAATAATAATAATAA